ATTATTAATATACTGAATTATTTATTTTTTGATAAATATTATATAAGTAGCATTATGCTAAATAAAAATTTTTCAACTAGTGTACTAAATATAAAAATTTGAAATTCATTATAAATTATCTATCTATTATAGATAAATATAAATTATTGTTTAAAAAGATTGAAACTAAATATATTTTTGAAAATAAAAGCTTTTATTAAATAATAAGTCTCTTTAAACAATATATAGAAAAAAATAAAGATTAAAAATAAATAAGCTTTTCAAATTATTAGAAAAAAAAAATATTTTAATCAAATATTTTTATTAAAAAGAGATTTTGTGAAATAAATTTTTGAAAAAAGTAAGGTTTTTTATTTATATTTTATTTTTTTATCATATTTATATAATTTTTATATTTATATTCCTTTTTTTCAGACTTGCAGATCAATAGTATAGTAGGTATATTTCCAGGTTACTATCTGTAAGTTACTGGTTCAATTCCACTTAAAAACAGTTTTTATAATATAGATTACATTGTACAAGATGCATGCTTATTATTATATGCACCCTTGTACTCAAAAATAACCTATAGACTTTCACTATTTGATTACGATATAAAATTTAGATCATTTAAGTCTTGGTCAGTTTTAATGCTAAGGAAAACTTTGAACACCTATCATATGGAATATATAAAAGATTCAAAAACAAGTCAAGAAAAAATATCAATCAGGCCAAACCTCTTAATAGATATGGAAAGAACATTTATCTCTTGTCAAAAATATATCCTATAGGAGATAAGGGAGACTTTAGCCATTTGTACCTGTTGAAATTAATGGGTCATAACAATAATAAATAGGAGATCATCTTGATCATAAAATCAATAGCTACCAAAGACAACAACTATTGTAAAGGCTAGTGATTAGTATTAATATCAGATTGAGAATCACAAGAATGAATTAGAAATTTGGAAGAAACAATTTAGAAAGTAACAACCAAGAAAAACCTCTTTAGGTCAACTTGCAAGAGTAATTAAAAATGAAGTAATAGAAGATTATATGCTACTTGATTATGCAACACTATTAAATCACCTGGATATCAAGAACATGACTAGAGAACTGTGCTATCTAAGTTTCAATTAGCTTACAAAGGACCGAAATATGGTAGGAATCATTTATAATACTTATGATAATTAAGCAGTAAGCAAGACCTTACTAAGGAATATATATCACAAGCCTTTTGAAGATTAAAAATAAAAATAAAAATCCATAGTGAATTTTTAGAATATTATAGTCCCAGGTAGAGCAAGGGAACTGATAAAAATGGTATCACTATGTAATAAAATTGATGGACTTGGTTAAGATAGATAATGTAAAAAAGGTTATACGAATTGTTTATATAGTCTAAAAAATATTTTTTTTTTTCAAAAAAAAATTTTTTTGTAATTTTCTATATTTCAGTAGTTTTATAAGACATATAATAGTAATAACTTGTTAACAATAAAGTGATAAATTAAGAGATATTTATTCAAAATCTATTATATAATAAAATATAATTTATAAGATCAAATTTAATAAATATTATTGCTTATAACAAATTTATTAGATTTAATAGAAATATTTTGTTATAGTATTTTTTTTTTTAACCTACAATCATACTACAATGATATATCTTTATTGAGATATTGAAAAATACCATAATATTTATAGACTTTTATAAAGTGACTAACTCATCATTGTACATTATTAGTTAAAGAACTACACTACTTAAAAATATAAGGAGTTCACTAAGCTAGTTTGGACTATCTGCAGTAGTGACCTGTAGGCAATGATATTAGAAGTTGGAAGGGTTTTCACCTGAACTACTAACGGAGCGATAAATTACTCCCGAAGTTGCACTTAGAGTCCTAGATAAATAGACTTTGACGAGTGAGTTAGAGATTTAGCTTTAGTGATACATATATAATATATAGCTTACAATTGTTTAATAAAGCATACATAACTAACCTGACAGAGGGTTAAAAAAAAAAAAAAAAAAACCAAACTAGTTTGGACTAAACAAAACTAAGTTTAAATTAGATACTCTAAGTCAGATTTAAGAGACAACATTATATTTTTCTAATAGCTTGGCATGAAACCTTTAAGTCAATCAGGATTATTGTTAACAGTTTGTTACTATTGATTATCCTGAAAAATAATGAATTGCTAAAGTTGACGCTGAGAAAAAAGAGGAAAGGAAATTACAATTCAAAGCCTTCCAAAAGGTTCTTGCTCTATTTTATAGTTTCTCTTAAAAGGGGTTTGCCTAATTGGGATATTCTCTAAGCTAAGCTTAATAATATTTGAGGAACTTAATCATTTCTGAAAGTGACTTCAAGAAGAATGTTTGAGAAACTTATTCTTCTGCGAATATACAGATTCACTTAATGCTACTTAAGTCAATGTCATATTATGGAAGAGTTTGCCTAATTGGAATAAAAAAATCTTTTCAAGAACTTTGCCTAACTAGGATAAAAGTTTGAAGACCTCAGCTTTTGTCCAGGAAAGCCTTTTTACCACCCGAGGAACTTAATAAAAAATGAGTATTGAATCTTCTATTCCTACCTGTTACTTGCCTTTCAATATCATAATTATTTCCTGAAGGTTAAATATACATGATTGGAGGGGACACTTTTCTTAGAACTTACTTTCCTATATTATTAATAATATATCGAAACATGTAAATGTGATCAATAAGAGTTTATTTATATTTCAAAAACTGATGTATTTTATGTTAGCAATTACCTTTGATAAGAATTTGTGCTATCCAAAATTTAAGATCAAATTAAGATAGGCAAAATTCCTCAGAAAACCATAAATATAGGAGCTTTAAGAGGGCTAAGACAGTTAAAAAGAGAGAAAATAAGTTATTTTACTACAGAAAACCTTTATAAACCTCTCGTTTCAAAGGTTAGAAAGGTCTTTAGGTATTTTATAGTCAGTTTTTCTTTCTTTGAGAACTTTTTTGCCATTGGTATCAAAGGTATTACTTAACTTTTCTTGATTACTAGAAGTCAAGTTTTTGAGTAAAGAGGTTTGTAGATAATAAAGGAAGGATAAAAGTGATTCTTGAAGTCATACTTCAAGTTGTTTTAAAGAAAGTGTTAAGACTTTATTAGTAAGGAAGTATAAAAACTTCTTGTGAATATCTTTTTTGTGTGTAATCAGAGGATTAGTGGAAAGAGTTTTATAATATTTTGTTGTAGTATATATTATATTACTTAAGTAAAAATATATTTATATTTTTAATTAATTAATAAATTATAGTATATGATTTTAACAATTTCACAAAAATTCTAAAATTATTTTATTAATAATTATTTCTTATATTTATATAATATACCTTGATTTAAAAGTTCAATAAAATAAAAATAAAGTTATTATTTCAAAAAAAAAAAAAAATTATTAATAATTAAAAAAATTTGTACTTAAATTATTAATAATATATATTAATATACTATACTGTATATATAGAAGTTTAATAAAGTATAATATGATTCAGTTCTTATTAAGTCATATAAGAACCTAGGATCCATCATAAGTTACCTTCCTATCTCAAGTAAATAAAAAATTATTGCCCAAAGAAAGTTGGAATCAAGTGTATTCTAGAAGTAAAGGTTTCCATTAGATAATAAGTTTCCTCAGACAATATGCAAGAAGAAAATTAAGATCAAGAATAGATAAGTTTCTTAGATGGTTAGGAAAAAAAAAAGATATTTCAATCAGGCATTTCTTATTGAGAAGAGATCTTGAGAAGCAGATTTTTAAAAGAAGTTGAAAATAATTTTTCAAATTTTTACTTTTTTATTTTTTTGTTGTCTGTTTAGACATTTTTAGATATCTATCCTTTTTTTTTTTTTAATCTATCCTTTTGTAGTTTCCTGTATTCCAAGGATTTGGTATGACATATAACAGTGACAACCTGCTAGCAATGATGTAGTGAACTAGAAAGAATCTTATCCAAAGATACTGTAAAGCAAAATATTATTTCCAAGATCAAACTTAAAGATTTTTATGCTTATAACAGATTAGTTAGATTAAAATTAATAGTTTAGCTATAGTATGTATCATGCTGCTCAAATGAAAATGTACTTATGTTTTCAATTGATTTATAAACTGACAATCTAGCCTGGCTACGGGTACTCAAAAAAAAGTTTAATAAAGTACATGTGACTAATCTGAGAAAGATCTTATAATAAATTATTTCAACTATAGTAATTTGAAACTACAAATTTTTAATTGGTTAATTGTCAATTTTAAAAGGCATTTCCGATCATTTTGTTAACCTACTAAGCCAATTTGATTGATGATATGCATGCATTGGGATTTTCAGGAAATGAATTTGATACCGTCAGTGGCACAGCTCGCAATTTCTCGCTCAATTTTCTTTGAAGTATGAGTTTTATATATCCGATCCCGACCACTGGCTCTATTTCTTTTTCTGATTTTTTATTAGATGAAAACAATCTATATATAAATCAAATCTCCGAGGCAACAGCTCAGAGGGGACGTCTCCGAGCTGTTTTAAAGGAAGCAAAAAGGACAGAAGGTCCAATAGATTATACTAAGATTATGACGGTATTACACATTCTTTCTTTGCTCTATTGAAAAGTTGATTATTGACATCCTATTTGTTTGTTTTTCAAGGGAAATGAGTAACTACGATCTTTTCTGTTTTAATATAGACTATTATTGATTATCTCCCATATCTACTTGGAATTATCAACTGTCTTCAATGCGGACAATTGAAATTAAAAAAAGAAATTTGTGATTAGTTGCCCTATCTTGGTGATTTGAACTATAACTTCGATTTTCTAACTAAACCTTAACCTCATAGTAACCTCGTGGCGATGTTCTCTTACCGCTTCGGTTCTCAAAAAGAAGTCTCGAGTATCTTGCCAAGGAATACACTATGAATTGATTTTCGTTCTTTTAACGTATGGATACGCTTGTTCTAATAAGGCATCTAATACAATTGAAATTCAAATGCAGAAAGATGATAATGATAAAAAATTAATACAGGTAAGGTATTCGGATTCTAATGATTCTCTATACAATAAGAAAATAATTTAAGCACGGGTCTTAAAATTAGGCAGCAGAATTATTGCGTAAAGCTTCTGGTGTATTTGAATATATTGCAGAAAAGGTATGCTCCAATTGGCAAGATCCACCTTCAACAAGACCACCGGATGTTTTGTCAGAATTATGCATGTCAATATCAAAGTAAGTCAATATTAATCATGATTTTACAATATATTCTTCTAATTTAATTTGTCGTCTTAGGATTTCTATTGCTGATGCTTCATCAATCGCCATCCGTAAAGCTCTCATGCAGCAAACGTCATCATCACTGCTAGCCAAGTTAGCAATTGGCGCTGCTGAGTATTACGAGATGGCGAGTGGACTAATCAAAAGTTTAAAAGACCCTCAAAAAGTTTGTTATGATTTTCGAAAGTATGTTTCAGATGGTGCTTTATTTCATCAGGTTAGCGTATTTTCAAAATATATTTATTCAATAAACAATATGTAGGTATATATATCATATTAGAAGAATATTTGACTTTTATGTAGTCGCTTGGAAAGAAATTTTTAGCTAAAGATGCCTACGAACATCAGTGAGTTGAAAATTAAATTATTTTTAAAGCATATCATTGTTACCATACACGTAACATCATCTTTGTTTGTATTTAAGGCAAACGGGAAATGCCGTTGGATTTATTAAAGAAGCTAAAGATATGTTACATAATCTTTCCAAATCAAAATCCCCTATTGTTGCTAAACACGCCGTTCAAGAATATGCAGAAGTTAATGAATTATGTAATATGTACGTTGGAATAAATGATACAGTGGGTATTATTAATTATATTAGTTAAAATTTCATTATTCAATCGAATAATCTAAACGACCGTTTATTATTTTTAAAAGGTAGCATTTGATGTAGTACCATCAAAAGCTGACCTTCAAGCGCTTACTCCTGGCGGACGGACTGTTCATCACTTGATAAAATACACTCCGCCATCACCAGCTTTTGGACCAGAAAACGATACAAAGGTGGATTTGCTTAGAAGATATTATTAATATCTTCAACACCAATTTATTTTCGAGTTGAAATGATTACGAATGATTGGACTCGAATAAAGATTACAAAACGGAAGAAGTCTATTTTGCATTAAAATTCCGGGTTTCGCCGTTTATACCGTTGATTAACGTGCGATCTGCTGTTAACGTTTTTTATTAATATCTTTGCTCTATTATTTAATTAGTCTTAACTGGTTAAAATCCCAACCTTTATATTTCCACCTTTCTATTCTCGACAGTAAATTCCTAGCATATTAACTAGTTAAATCTGGTATAATTTAGGAAAATTTTGATAGAAGCGACCTCCGAAAGATTTGAGGAAATGTTCTTTTACATCATAAACATTTTTAATATGAATTGATGTTATAGACTATATTTCCATTAAAAAATGAATTAGTCTAGAAAGCGATAAATAAAGTTAATAAATCAATTTTGGGAGTGTTATTAAAAATAGAACCATCAGTCAGTTACTTGAACAGCATATTATTATTATTTTAATTTCAATATTGAAGCAATAAAAGGCTTAATATAACTTTTAATAATAACAATAATATCAATTTACTGTACTTTGTATAATTTTATTATAAATTATATTTACAAAAAATGTTTAATTTAAAAGTCATTTAATTTGATAAATTTTATTTAACTTTATAAAATAAATAAAACAAATAGTCTTAAATTATAGGTTTATAGCTTAGATAATAATTTTCAAGTAAAGATTCTTAGTTTAAATTTATAGAATTTATTTAAAGAATATATTATATTGCATTATATTTAGTACTTCATGGAATAGTATTAATATTATTAAATATAAATTTGATTATTTTAAAAAAATTTTATTATTATATAGTATTACAATATACTGTATATAATTATTTCTTATTAAATCAAATTAATTTATAATTATTGTAAAATAATTTAATTTTATTAATTCCAAAAAATTATTAAAATTAAAAAAGCTAAAACTCTAATAAAAAAATAATATTATATAAAGAATTCTTTATTTTTTTTTAATCTACAGTTAGGTCAATATGACATGTTTTTATTGTATATATGTAAAATATTTGCAAAATAATTATGACTTTTACATATTAACTTACTTGTCATAGAAAAACCAATTCTTTAAATACAATCTAAAAAATGATATTTTACTTCTTTATTGATTTGAATTAATCTTAAATCAATAAAATTATTGTCTATAGATTATTACTATAGATCATTTTAAGTTCTGTCTACAATTTAAAATCTGAACTATTTACTATAATACTATAACATACTTATTCTTTAATAATTTCTATATAACTCTTTTCTTTTTCTTTTCTTTTATTTTCTTATTTCATATTTTCTATTGAAGGTAACATTTGTTTTTTATAATCTTGTATAATTAATATATTCAATTTGTTTTTATATTTCTTGTCTATTTCTCTTCTCTAGTAATATCTTACTTTTTTTTCAATTTATTATTTCAATACAATGATGGTTTCAAATCTTTTTCTTGAAATTTTTTCATATTTTTCAACAAAGTTTACTGATTATAGATTATGTAGTTAATAAAGAAATCTTTAACTATTCTTTTAATATAGTTCTTTAAGAATATAATCTTGTTTTTTTCTATATATCTATATATAGTATTAAAAGGACTTCTATTTAATTATTAAATATTTTTTGATCAGTTCTTTATTCAATTAATAGTTTTAAATTAAACTTCTTTTTGTCACTATTTCTTTATTAATATAAAGGTTAATCATTTTATATACTTCTTTCTATATATCTTTTTTAGCTTCTTTTATAATTAGGTATTCAAAGAAATAACTTAGTATTTTCTTTTATAATTTATATAGAAAAAAAAATAATTAGTAAATAAACTTTTAGGTTTTTTTTTTCAAGTATTTTAGCTAAAGATAGGTTTCTAAAAAGGGAGTCAGAGATAAAAGTCAAATATTTCTCATTAGTAAATATTAAAATTTTTAAATTAATAACTATAAAAAAACTATCTATAATTTTTCTTTATTATTCAAATCATTGATTATAATATTTCCTGACTTCTGTCCCTATTAAAGTGAAGAGTTATGAATTTTATTACTCAAAAGGAATATAAGTGATCTGTGAAATTTTATATATTAAATACTTTAGGAACCCATTATTATTTGTAGCACTAGAAATTTATTGTAGATCAAATTTATTAAGAAACTCTTATTTTTATTGGTTTTGAAGGATATATAGAAGGTGTTAAATAAATTAAACTAATTTTAAAAAATTGATCAATTTATATTTTTGTCTTGTTAAATCTAGTAATCTTGAATTTTCTTTTGTAATATTTAGTTTAAGTTAATTTTTTATAATTAAAATATTATTTTTATTCAAAAAAAAAAAAAATTTACAAATATAATTTTGAGTTCGTTAAATACAATAAACCCTTGCAATTAAAAATCTTTTCAAAAAAACAAAAACATTTAATGAAATAATTAAGCTATAGACTTTCAATATAGTTATCAAAAAATATAATATTATTTATAATCTATTAAATTAAAAATTATTATATATAATATAACATTTTTTTTTAAATTCTTTGTTAGGCTAATTATGTGTGTTTTATTAAAAAATTGTAAACTATACATTATAATATAAATCACTAAAGCTAAAAACTCTCTAAATCTTTCTACTAATCCTCTACCTATACACAAAAAAGATGTTTTCAAGAAATTTTTTATTTCTTTGCTAATAAAATCTTAACACTATCCTTAAACCAACTTAAAGTTTTACTTTAAGAGAT